TACCTCTGCCTGGGGGCGACTATGCGATCTATGCCACATTCAGCCTGGATCATCGGGATCGCGTCTCGCTGAAAGTGTTCTTCACGCTGACCGAATAATAAATAAGCGAGCGCATTTCAATAATAATTAAATTATAATATGAATATGATATAAATAAATGTGTGTACGTAAACGCTTTCAATAAATCGAATAATTATAATTGGATGCATTGACAGGGCCATAAACTAAATGGAGAATTACATGTGTTTCAGTTGTGAACTCGAAAGACAACGAAATAACGTGAATTCAAATCAATATATATTACAGATATATATAAGAATATATGTGTATATATTTGTAATTTGTGTTGCAGTGCTATATTAATGTTAATGTTATTATTATGGTTGATTTTATTGATGTTTTTATTAAGGCGCTCGGCACGTGCATGTGGGTCACGAAACCAGGTGCCTTTTCATATGGCCATAAATTCTGGAAACTTTTCGAACTTGACATTAATATGGACATTTTCAAATTTCAAATGAACTGAACCTCAAAGGTCAGCCAAAACCTTTCGTATTCACATGGCTTATTAGCCTTTACAGTTAGCTGGGCGCGACCCTGCAAATGCTCGGTCATGACATTTGGGCAGGCATTAAAAACCCATCAAGTGTATTGAAATCAAAGACCTTTTCAGCCGATGCCCAGCCGGCCAATAAGAGCTGCGTGCGCCCCATTGAAACTGAAACGAAAATTGATTGTAATTGTGTCTAATAACTGAAAGATGTTGACGGAAATCGCAAACCTCAAAGGCTGACGCGCCAAACATAATTACAAAAGGCAAGATATATATAAATATATTATATATTCACATTATATATTCAATTACCATATTTGTATATATATATATTGTATTTTTTTTTATGCATGCATAATGAATTTATGGGTCAATTGCAAAAACTTGAACTCCAAAACTGATTTGTGGGATACCGCTGAAAATGTTATGTTATCTCATGTTATTGAGTCTCCAGTGACAGGCCGATTGCCTAGGAAGTAATAATGCTCATCGACAAATCAGCAACAACAACAACAACAACAACAGCACTCATGGCTCAACAATGCACAAGTGTTGGCAATTAATATCGCATGCAAATTAATGAGTGGCAATTAGCAGCCAAAGACAAAAAGCCCATTTATAATAAGTTTTGCTT